GGTTTTGAATTAGGGTTTTTGGTCAACTTCCGTAGGTGAACTACCAGTGGTCCACCAACCCGGTTATACCCCCGGATGTCAGCTTTTCGTCCTCACTTTGGTGCGAAAACATCCCCGCCACGAGAAGGCAGTGAGCAGGGCTCCCCAAGCAGAGGCTGTTTGAGATGCTTGGTCATATGGTAGCATTTTGCCGGGTGGCCAGCCGCAACCTTGACACCCACCATACTGAGGATTTCGGAGGTTAGGTGAAATTCGTATGAGGTTTTGTATTTCTGCCAAAGTTCTCTCTCGCACGCATCTCATCCACTGTGTATTGCTCTTTCTGTGACTCCCACAAATTCACCCGGAATGCCTAGGTTCATCTGGCTTCTTGAAAATCTTCCCATAAAATCTGTATAATTGTCTATTTTGGTTGAACTTTTGCTTACGAGGATGAGGATTTTCGAAAACTTTTAATGAGCCTCAAAGTTTGGTAGTTTGATCGGATAACAATTCAGATTGATTACTACATTTTCATTTGGGTTTTCTTAGATGCTTATCCTATGCCCAAAAAGCACAGTAGATGCTTGCTCAAGCCCATAAGTAATAAGACATTAAAGTTACTAAACAGGCTTTGTGTTGATGATTGATTGACTGTAATTATAAACAGTTACCGCATTGGACACATTGCCGTCACTTATGTTACTTACTCCAGATTCGTTGTACTATGTTCTCTTTACCATCCGAAAACAGAGCTAATCGTCTGGCAGATCGTATCACACTGTTACGAGATTGTGCGGAAAATGCAAAATTGCCCGTGGATCAAGTAAGCCTGCTTGTTTTTGTGTGCCACACTGAAAAACACCTTATGCCTCATTGACGTCTAACGTTGTGACAGTGCAATAATGTCTATTGTATTTTTTCGTGGGACTGAATTTTATAATTTATTTGTTTTAGTTTGCGGTGTTTTTTTGATCAAATAACTCATTCCTTTCTTTTCCTTCACTGCGCCCGTACGAGTCTATCATCGATCATATTCATCTCTATTTTTTTCCTGTCTCCAGGTCGATGTGATCATTTCCGAGTGGATGGGTTACTTTCTCCTATTCGAGTCCATGCTAGACTCGGTCATACAGGTTGCCTTGCGTTATCTCGCTCCTGACGGTCACATCTATCCACGACATTACTCACTGTGCCTATTGGGTGTGTCCTGCGGTGAAAAATTACGTCACGATTGCGTGGAATTGTGGAATAATGTGTATGGTTTTGAAATGCCCGCTTTGCGTCGAGCCGCGTTAACTGAAGCACACATCCTAGACATGGGTGATGCACGAGTGCTCGGACCGGTGGACGCATTGCACGGGTTTCGAATTTTGACCAAAAACCCTTGTCACCTGTACACACTGGATTTGGATGCGATATTGCGACAGCGGAGGGATCATCCAGCTAATGAGTGGTCAGACTTGCAGTCAGCTGAAGGCCCAATCGATTTATTTGTTAATCCCGATTCACCTTCCAACGGAGATGTCACGTTTCGGCTAGACGCATTTGTGGGCTATTTCGATGTGCGATTCGATGACGATGCCCCTCATCAGGTTTGTATTCCAGCTGCCTATTTCCGCTCTCTTTTCTCCGTGCGGTTTCGTATGGCTCGGACTGGATCATGTGAGAGAAAACCCACTTACACAAAATTTAAAGCAAATTTTCCTTTATGTTTAACTCGCCCTTAGTCAGTTGAGGGCTCCGCAAGTTCTCAGCTCTTTTGTAGTTAAAAAGTGCTATCTGCGAGTAGAGTGAAGGTGATAGCGGATACTGTCTCACTAATTAAATGTTAACTGGGCTATATATATCCTTCGGGTCTATGAATGAATAAAGAATGGGTTTATTTCCTTTTTATTTATTATGTATTCAAATATGCACTCAATTTTCAGAACATGCTGAGACCAATCAAAGGGGCTGTTCGGGGAGGATAAGTTGGTAGGATCCGCATACAGGGCCTCAAGTTGACCTTAACTACTTGACCACCGTTTTGTCTTTGCTAGCAGTTGGTTCCAAAGTACCCATCTCAAATACAGGCGCTCATTCGGATTTCTCCTAGGGCTGAAAAAGGCCTCGTCACCTCAACTAACCTCTCAGAGTACGTCCTTTAAAGCATCTGACGAAGAAATCCTACTCTCATTTTCCTTCATTTCGCTTATCTTCTGGGGAGGGGGTGATCGGGATGCATGAACATCTCGAACCGCTCAGTACTGAGGTGCAACCGTCAAATGTTTTCGATGGCATGCCATCCTAGCCCTGGGATTTTCGTTCTTAGTCTTATATACCATGTCGAATAATTTTACCGGAGTCGGTGGATTGCAGCTAGATACATGCGGCAGCCCGTCACGATCAGACTGCACCTTGAAGTTATGCAATGGTTTGCGTGCTTCCATAAATAACCCTGTAAACGGGATGGATTTTCGCAGCTGCAGATCCAATCGTGTCTGAAATGTCAATGGGCAGAGGCCAGGAAAAGCTCAATCTCACAGGGCCAACTACTTGGTTTCTTTTGTGTATCCACTCTCGTCCCTGAAGAGGTCACTTCAGCAAATACACACGGTGAGAAGCAGTTTACCGGGAAAACCCCCTGCTAGATGGACCTAAGAAAGGGGTACCTGGGGCTTCCTCCCGACGGCGGAAATTTTCATATCTCATTAGACAGCTACCGCCCGCCAAGGCGGGGCAATCCCCAAAAATACGGTGCTGTCCCGTCTAAGTTCCGCTTGTCTCATTGGGTGCATGAGACTGAGGGTCAATCCCGAACAGTGGACGGATAATCAACGCTCCAGCGAACAACACACTGTGCAGTTCTACCTCTCAATCCCGAATAATCTCAGACGCCTCCTGTTTACGCCGCCCATCAAATATCACTCAGCGTTTTACTAGGAAGGCCAAACAGTCAGAAGTCGCGTTCAATGTCCCCACACGGTCAGATCGGTCAACCAGCTGCCTTAGCTAGAACACTTGAAGCTTTCGATTTAGACGTATGTTGTGTCTCGGAAACACGCATACACAATCCCACTTCGGTCATCACCTTTAGATATCCAGATCAGACCTTATCCTCATGCCTCACTCTCCGTTTATCAGGCGATGCGGCATCCGAAGCTCGCGGTGTTGCTGGTGTAGGGATTCCGCCAAGTGCCAAGGTTGAGTGTTCGCTTCTTGACTGGATTCCGATTAGTAGCCGAATGTGCGTTGTACATCTCGACGGTTCAGTACCAGTTTACGGCTACTGATCGAAGCGTCGATGCCCATTCGTTGTGTCGGTGTATGCTCCAAAGTGTTTGATAAACGGACGTCGTAGTAGTCACCGGAGACATGCATTTTCGAGNTCGAGTGGAATCCCTGGACGAATCGAAAGACTTCTTGGTGGTACACATGTAATCCCAGCCAATCGCGGGCGGACGACGGAGAACACATACTCCAACTTTGCGCTGGCCACGAACTGTTCCTGTGAATTACCAGCCATATTGCAGGAATCGGGTGAGGAAAACGGACAAGGAACGCTGTGGGTAGTCGGCTAGTTCTAGGTAAACGCGGTCGTTCACTGCAGAAAGTGGTTGACCTCCACAGACTGCACGGCTGAGGCTTGTGTTATGCATGTCGCCAATTAGGTTGTCACTCGCTGGATGTTTATCAATAAGTGGAAAATGCCTCCAGTGGTCCTAATAATACCTGGTATGAGGTTGTGAATACCCTAATCAGGGCACTCAATCATTATAGATCGCGTTCGTCTCCCTGGATGGGAACCCCTGTATCATTGTAATCAATAGTTAGAGACATTAAGCCGTATGGCTGTGTCGTAAAGAGTGGTGCTCTTGCATCGTCTTTTTTCTTGGCAACTGAGGTCTGCTGGTATTCTCCAGTTTCTCTTCGGCTCTACCTCCAATTTTCCTACCTTTTTCTCACCTCTTCATCCAAATGGGCAGCCAAAAGACAGCGATAAAAATTGGCGCACGAAAGTGCATGATTTGTGGTTGAACGAACTGAAGCTGAAACATGCGGGAATGACACGAGCGGCTTAGGCGAGTAGAACGGCTGACCAGCACCGAAGTCGAGTAGATCCTGAGAAGGTTTCGCTCATCGCTCCATTTCGTTGATATAATCTATAATGACTTTTTTATTATTGGGCGTAAGACTGCATGATGGAACAAACACCCCTTGGATGCAAGACGCGGAAAACTGTGTAGTTTCCCCACATCCCGCATGCTGGCCGGCACATTGGACCAGTAAATTCAAATTCAAATTTTTATAATGGGTAAATTACAAAGCTGATGCTTATTGAATCCCATAGGGTCTGTACACACTGGGTCCGGTTGGTAGTACGATTGAATAGCAAATTCTGACGTTCACTCACGGGTACTGAAGTGTTAGGTGGTTCAATGCTTCATCCAGTCGTGACTTGAAGTAATCGATGGTTGGTGCACAAACAACTTGAAGTGGAAGAGAGTTCCAGGTATTACAAACTCTGAGGCTGAAAGAATGACGCCTGCAGTCGAGCTGGCTCTTTTGGAGCAGAAGTTTAAACGGAGGTGATCATTCCTGGATAGCGTCACTAGAGTACTACACGGCTGGTTCGGTTGATGTAGTATTTAATAAACGAGGACCATGTTTCCCCGTATTCGACGGTATTCAAGCGAACAAAGTCCGAGAATTCGCAGTTTTTCATCGTAGGTCTTAGATTGTAACCATTTAACCATTTTGGTTGCTGTTCTCAGCGGACGTTCAAGTGCCTTTTGGTCGCAAATTAGCCATGGATTCCAAGCCTGTATAGCATACTCGGTGTGTGGTCTAATGTATGCTGATAATAAATGGGGCAATAGGACTCTTTTGAATGATCCAAAAACACGTTTTAGCAATCCAACGTGTTTTATAGCCTATGAAGACGCTCTTGCGCAATGTGTGGAACATTCTAGATGCCGACGAAGAATAACTCCCATGTCCTTTTCGTTTGGAGAACGCGGCAATGGCTGAGTTCCAAGTAAGTATGAAAAAGGACCCTTGTGGCGCAGCGATACAACCTTGCATTTTTCAACGTTGAATTCGATGTCATTAATGATGGACCATCAATAATCTGCGTCGAGAGTTTCCTGCAAGGTTTCATAATCTTCAGGATATTTTACCGTCATCCATGTTTTGGAGGAATACGCTATCCAGGCCTGGAATCCATGGCTACAGCGTGATTGCAAGATGCTGGAGCGTCCACAAAGGATGGCCACAAAAATGGTAAGGGGGTTGAATCGGTTTTCATACGCAGATAGACTGAAGTCACTGGGATTATATTCCAATCATTACCGGCACATCAGAGGAGATATGATTATGGTGTACCAAATAATGCAAAACCCAAGCCATCCGTGTCGCCCGCTTTTGAAATTATCACCCAACGTTCATCTTAGAGGACACCCATTTTAACTAGTGGTCTCAAAATGCCGCTTGGAATGCCGGAGTTAGTCATTCGCAGTCAGAGTGTGTTCGATCTGGAACTCTCTACCATCCTACGTCGTCTGTGCTCCAAGCATTGAGTCTTTCAAACTGAGGCTCGATGAAACACTAGCACATCTTACGTTCCAACATAAGTGAAGCTGCGTAAAGCAGTGGAAAACGCACGTATCACGTGGCATTTTACAAAAAGATTTGTATGTATCACTGTTTCCTAATCCACCGCACGAACCTATGGGACCAGAAAAGCATGAGCTTGTAAGTTATTCCCATAATAAATCTTTGAATCTTTGAATCTTTGANGGGATTATATTCCAATCATTACCGGCACATCAGAGGAGATATGATTATGGTGTACCAAATAATGCAAAACCCAAGCCATCCGTGTCGCCCGCTTTTGAAATTATCACCCAACGTTCATCTTAGAGGACACCCATTTTAACTAGTGGTCTCAAAATGCCGCTTGGAATGCCGGAGTTAGTCATTCGCAGTCAGAGTGTGTTCGATCTGGAACTCTCTACCATCCTACGTCGTCTGTGCTCCAAGCATTGAGTCTTTCAAACTGAGGCTCGATGAAACACTAACACATCTTACGTTCCAACATAAGTGAAGCTGCGTAAAGCAGTGGAAAACGCACGTATCACGTGGCATTTTACAAAAAGATTTGTATGTATCACTGTTTCCTAATCCACCGCACGAACCTATGGGACCAGAAAAGCATGAGCTTGTAAGTTATTCCCATAATAAATCTTTGAATCTTTGGAGTCATCAGCGAATAATAGTGCCTTTTCTCCAAGGACATCTGGTAGGTCGTTTATGAATGCTAGGAAAAGGTACGGACCGAGTACTGATTCTTTTGGAACTCCACGGATAGCCTCAATCGGTCCCGACAGAGAACCATTAACTCGAACCGATACGGTACGTTGTCGAAGAAATCGCTCAATCCAGTCCAGTAGCAGTCCTCGGACACCGTAATTATGGAGCTTTCGCAGTAGTATATGGTAGTTAACACTGTTGAAAGCTTTGGAGAAATCTAAGTAGACTACGTCTACTGCCTCTCCTGCGTCGACTGATCTTGTTCATTCATATGCAAGTAGCAGGTTTGTGGTGCACGAGCGTTTCCTTCGAAACCCCCTTTTGGGCCGGCGAAAGTATGTTATGCTTCTCGAAACAATCCATCAGAGAATCAGCAACGGTCGATTTCATTACTTTTGACAGAACAGGAGGAAGTGTAACTGGACGGTAGTTCGCAGGATCACTTCTGCAACCACCTTTGTAAATAGGTGAAATGATACCGTGTTTCCAGGATTGAGGGATCTTCATCTTGTCGAACATTCTGTGGTATAAATGGGCAATTATTTCAGATACATAATTTGCCAAGGATGTCAAGGTCTGTGGCCGGATGTTGTCTCCCCCTTAGATGAATTCCGGCGCAGCGCCAATAGTTTGTTTTTAACCGTTGAACGTTACGGTGGTCAGTTGGGGGTATGGGACACTTGACAGAAGGTGTGGAAGCTGTAATTCGCCTTTGTTACCTGCAGTGAACACTTCGTAGAACTGGACTTTTAGGAATTCGGCTGCTTCAGCAGTAGTAGTGGAAACGCGTCTTGCATGCCTTAGTGCCGGTATTCCATATTTCACTTTTCTGGTAGCATTGATATGCTTATACAGTAGCTTTGGATTGGCAATAAATTTATGTGCCAAAGCTTCTTGAAACCTTCGTTTATCCTCTCGCACTAATTTTACACAAAGGTTTCTCAACAAGATATATTTATCCCAAGTGTCGGCGGACGGACATCTGAATTCTCTCCAGGA